AAGAACCTCCCCCACCGTGTATATAGGATCTTAAAATATCACTATTAAATTTGGCACGGATGTATAAAAAAGTCAATTCCCATACCCACACATGTGTATAGAATCCCAAAGGATCACCATTAAATTTAGTACGGATCAATAGAAAAGTCAATTCCTATACCATGTGATAACTTTTCTAAAGATCTATGCCAACTTTAATGGTGATCTTTTGAAGTATTACACATATGGGTGGGGGAAGATTCTATAGCATCATTAGATCACATACGGGTGGGGGAGGATCCTATAGCATCATTATATATATATGGAAGCCACTACGTAACGCTTATGGGCGATGAATACTATTTTCACCCATAGGCTCGACGCCGTTCGATTTTTTTCTATACAGTGTGGATTAAAAGACCCCAATGGACCTACTATGTCTGTTAAATAGTGTTTTGCCCCGCTACAGATATGCTATGTTCGTTGCCATTTTTTTTCACACAAAAAGACACGGGAAACAACCACGGCTCCCATATATCCGTGATGATTTTTAAGGCTAAACCGCAACGGACATAACATGGCCGTGACAGGACAAAACACCATTCAATTTTGCCTATAAGCGTTTTTTTCGAATTTTTCAATATATATATTTCAAATGATTGGAATTTGTATACAAAAATAAATAAAAATTCAAATACGAAATAAGATCGTGATCGTCAGACAGATTCAATATAGACCGTTGACTGACACTGTAGCAGCCAGCCCATGAGCTGACATAATCTATTCATTCCCTATATAAATATATTTTATTTTATTTTTTTTCAGCCGAAGAGGTCGAAGCCTGAATCGGCTGGTACCATACCCAAATTTGTCCGAAGCGGCAGCCCCAAGCTTCACTTCGCTTCAATCTAAGCCCAAAATCCTAAGTCTTCGGCAGACAATTATCAAAGTCTCGAGTGTGTGGTGTCTTTGAAGTATCAATATACATCCATGCTGCACTAAAAAGTACTCAGCCAAAGTATGGCAATTGAAATATAGCAGATTTATGCACAACAACAACAAAATAGAAGAGAGTAAAAGAGGTCACCAACTTATTTCAAATTTTCTTCTACAAAATGCAAAGGAAAAGGAGAGAGACAAGGAAATCAAAAGTCCTCTCCTTTTCCACCTCTCTAAATCTCCCAAGACATTCTACTCAAATTCCCATCCATCCCCAAAAAATAAAACTCCAAAACCCCAACCCCCATCACATTCCTCTCTTAACTATCAAATATTTACACCAAAAAAAACACCTAAAAAAAAAAAACCTATTTGTACAATTCGTAACTTACCCAAGACATTGGCTTCTTCCTTTTCTTTCTCTCTCTAAAAGGTGTGTCCATCTTTGTTACCAAAAGTAAGCCATGCACTGTTCTCTCTCTAGAATCACCACACTTAAGCCATGTAGTGCTCTCTCTCTCTCTCTCTAAAAAGACAGCAAACCATGCCATGTATTTGCTTCTTCTCTCTAAAAAATCAGCGCCACGCCGAAACCGTGAGCAGAGGCTGATCCTTCCAGGCCAATGTCAAGAACCCGGGCCCGGCCTCTATGAGCGAGTAACTGCTACTGTAATCGTAATTCCACAGCAACATCCTGGCCTGGCTCACTGCGTAATGGCTCAGCCCCAAGCCCACAAACCCTGCTCTCTCTATCTCTTCTCTCCAGATACATCTCTCTTCCATTCTCTCTGTGTTTTTTACAGCTCCTGCAATTCTCCTGCCAATCACCACCCTCTCGACTCTTTCTCTCTCTTTGCAAGCTCTTCCCATGCCGGCCTCCAAGCACTCGAACATAGCCCCGTAGTACCGGAGAGCTCTGCTCAGCCTCCCCATGAAGTCCCCTCTGTTCAAGCCCAATTCATACTCCCCGAGAGTGACAACTTTCGGTTTCAGGGCCTTTGCAACCCGCAACGCCCTCGCGACCTTCTCCATCTTTTCGTCGACCAGGCGGTGGAGCTGGAGCATGAAGTTGACGGCCACGAATTCTCCATCAGCGCGGCGGAGATCCCCCTCCATGACATCCTCGATCGAGCAGGGCACAGGCGAGAACTCGAAGTTGAGTTCCAGGAGCTTCGCAAAGTCACACAGCCGGTTACCGGTGGCGGCGAGGGAGGGGGCGGGGTTCGAGCCTAAGCTCGGTGCTGGGATGCCAGAAATCCGGATCTTGGCTGGTTTTCCGGCTGGCCTAGTCGCCAGGGCCTGCAAAAGTGCTGCCCACTGGACCCCCTGAACTATGCCGAAATCTACAATATGTATAGAATCAGCAGTTTCCATGGCCTCCAAGATAGCTTGATTTGCAGTGAGATGAGCAAATTTAGAGAAAGGGCAAGCATCATTCAGGGCTTTGTAACAAAGGGTGGACTCCTCTGCTGAAAACTGGGCAACTGGATGGCCCGTCGGGTCGAGGCGCTCAATCAGGGCCTCCGCAAAATAGGACACCAATCGCTCAGTCGGGCTCCCCGAATCTGGTGCAGATCGCCGAAGCTCCGCCAGGGAGGCTGCAGCATGGCCAGGATCAGAGTGAACAGTCCGTGCTGCATCCACAAGTGATAGGAGCAGCGGTGGCGGTGGGGGATCCCTGTTCACCAGTGGCGGCATAGAGCGGCCGTCCGGTGGCTTCCGGCACTCGGCTGATGGCACTGCCTCCGGTTGCCATGGCTGAATTGGTTGAGGCAGTGTTGCCGTGGGAAAGTTAGGGTTTTGTTGTTGCTGTTCAGAGATGATGTTGGCCTTGGTCTCCAACGGTGGAGAGAGGGTTTGAGCAAATGGGGGCTCCGAAATAATGGCGGAGAAGTCCGCTCGCCACGGCTCGCCTGTGCTTGGGAGCTCCGAGCTCTCCGTGGACTCGCAGGGGCCACTCTCGAAGCATGATCTCAGGCTTCCACCACTCTCGACTCCATGGAAATCGCCCATCAAGCACTCCATCCACTCATCCCCTTCGAATCCAGCACCGCCACTACTGAGCCCCTGCAAATGCAAATCCGAGAGCTTAAAAGGAATAGGCGACCTGAGCCCATTCCGATGCTCAGGCCACATATGGAGCCCCCCCGGCCGTTCCTGCTCCAGAGGTGGGTAAATGAGCACCGGCGGCTCTGCCTCCACGGCAGCAGCACCACCACCATAGCCATCAGAGAAACCCATGGCGGTGGCAGAGGCCGAACCGAATCCAGCTCCGTCGTTCGGTAACCTAGGGTTTAAGAACCCAGAGTGGTGGGACCAGGGGTTTAGGGCAAAACCCCCATTCCCTCCGCCATTGATTTGCTGCTGCTGCTGCTGCTGTTGTTGCTGCTGCTTCTGCTGTATCACTTGTTGCGCAATCGCCATTAGATTTCCACTATCTGCACACATGTAAGCCATTTCATAATCTCCAATGGCTACAGGCAAAGAAACCCTACAAAGAAGCAGTAACTCTATCTCTGCAAATGAGATGAGAAATCAAAGTGCATGAGCCCTAAAAACCCACATCCCACCTATGTTTAAAACCCAGAATAACCCATGAAAATGAGGCTTTCAGGAAATCAAGCACACCAGCCATGGTTCATATGAAGAGGGGGCCCTCTCTCTCACTGGAAATACTGATTGTGAAAGAGAGAGAGAGAGAGATTTATTTCAGGGTAGAGAGAGAGAGAGAGAGAGAGGGAGGTGATGTCTTAAAGAACTCAAGTTTTGGGTTTGTTGCGGGGACGGGTGCTGCACAACCAGCAGTGTAGAGAGAGAAAGAGAGACTGGTTCAGAGGTTAGAGAGAGAAAGGGGGAAAAGGATGGGTAGAAATTTGAGAGAGAGAGAGAGAGAAGGGTGGGGAGGGTGAGGGGGCTCTTAAAAAAGGGGCAGAGGCCAACGCGGAGCGGGCCCACTCAGACTAAAATCTCGAACCCCGAGAAGAAAACGAAACGGCCACGGGTCCCACCCTCCCCCAAAAGCAGAGGCCGAAATAGGAGGGAGATGAGAAAAAGAAAAAGACCCCCAAGAACTTAAACAAAACCCCGTCCCCCCTCTCTCTCTCTCTCCTGCTTTCTCACTCCACTCACTCTCTACAATTCTTTCTCTCTCCTCTCTCTTCAATTGTCGATGCAAATTCGAATCGGAGCGGTTAACCGGATATGGATATGGGTTCGAACCAGCTTAATTGGCATAATCGGTCAATTAACCGGTTAAGTTTGAAAAAAATGTTAAAAAAGTAAAAAAATCTATTAAAATGTAAAAAGTATATAAATAATCATTAAAATAAAATATATTCAAATGAATTTTAAATTTAATTAAAATAATATATTTAAACGAATCGATTTGTGTTTAAAGGTATTTTAAAATTTTCTTGAAAAAAAAGTGGGAAAATAGAAAAGTGAGTATTAATGATCGAAAATAATTTTTATTCTTTACTATAATATAAAAATATTAAAAAAAATACTTTTTTTTGGTAGATAAGTGTGGAATACAGGTCCCAACCCGTTTTTAGAAATAATTAATGGTTTTCGAATGCGTCAGTGGGAATGAAAACCTAGACCGGTAGCTAAGGCTGTGGTACTGCAATTTATTTTTTGGAATTTATATAAATTTTTTTCTTAACAATTTTTTTTAAATACTTATCGATCACCAAAACTGCCCAAAACCATAACCGCCCATTGACTAGTTCCGATCTTACCCGACAGTTAACGGTTAGATCCCCCCGTTTTTCCAACAGTGTTTCCACTGCACACCAATTTCTTGAACTCCGCTTCACTTCTCTCTTCTCTCTCTTCCATTCCTTCATTTTATTTCTCTTCAATTTTTTCTCATTTTTTATTTTAGTTCAATGCGGCCCAACATGGTCCCGGGCTAAGCTTAGGCTAGCCTTGTAGGGACAAGGGTTGGGCCACTGCTAGTGGTCCGTTGCCACCCTTACGATCTCCTCAGTTGTAGGGCCCAACAGGGCGAGTCTAGGAAGTTTGGGCCGAAGCCCAATGCCAGTTTAGATCATAGTTAGCAAGTACACATGATTTTGTAAAAACAAACAAAAAAATTATATTATTTGAAATCGATTAAAAACTCAAAGTTTTTCACAAGATCTCCGATTCAAAAAATCACATTTTTTTAATAGAATCGATAAAATCCTTATTTTATCCTTTTTTTAAAAAGAAAACTTTTGAAAAAAATTATTCCCTATAACTTTATTTATTCATGAAGTTAATATTATTAATTATTAATTAGAGATAAATACATTAGCCGTGGGAGTAAATTAAGAATCTTAATTTAACAAAAAATTTCATAATTTTTTTTCCCAATAAATTCCCTTAAAAAAGTGTACAAAGAATTACGGGCAATATATTCCCCAAAAATAAATTATCAAAACAATCGCACATATCAAAATAATAGGTACAATTAGAATAAGAGTAACCTAATTAAATATCTTTTTTTTTCTTTAAACCCAAAGCGTACTTATAAAGAACAAGAGAGAGATTCAATAATACTAAATATTTTGGCAGTTAGGATTTAAATGTGAGATTCAAATTTACTTAAACATTTTGTAGCTTTCTCTATGCAAAGAGAAGTTTGATTAATTTCATATTATTATTATTACTATTATATTTCAATGGTATACAACATTTTAGATGAACCACCATTTTACATATTTGGATCTTTTGTGTTTTGTTTTAGTTAACCGCAATCCTACACTGTGGGCCTTTTTTATTTTTTCTTTGAATAATAATCTTATACCTTGGTTTACGGTTATTCTTATTTACTAATATACTACTTATGTTTAATGTTGTTGTTGTTACATTATTTTATATTCCCAATAAATCTGTGATGTTTTGGGTTGTGACAATAGAGTAAGCATTGTTGTTGAATTTATTAAAACTTTAGACAATAATTTGTCAAGTAATATTTTAATGATAATGATATTAGGTATGGTCATAAAATTATTGTTCAATGGCTTTAATATATCTATATAGAGTAATGATACTATGAGACCCTATGTCTATATAATGACTTCAAATCATAATTCTATATTATATCATCTTTACATATCATATTTTTTTTTTCACTCATTCTTTTTTAGTTAAATCCAAAATATTATTGATTCTTTAACTTAACCTATTTTTTAACAATTCATATATTTTACCCAATTTTAAAAAATAGAATCGATTTATTATCGATATTTGGGTTCGCCAATATATAATTATTCCTCAACTTACCAAGTATTGTCTGGACAACGCAAAGAGGCCTTCATCGTTTGCGGCTAGGATGGGATAGGCCAAATAAATTCAAATATAACATAAAAAAAAAAAGACTGAGCTAGCCTATCATGGCCATGAATTGGGCCTGACATTGGACTTCAGGCCACATTTTTTGCCCCTAGTAGTAGCAAGGACAATAAAATTAGAAGCTTGTACATGTCATGCAGATCTATAAACATTTATTTTTTTTAAAAAATAGACCGTTTATACACATTATCGTAATATATATTATTTTTAGAGTTTGAAGTCCTAACTTTTTCACAACCACAAAATATAAGAGTAAAAGTTTTCCAATACTTTGAATTGCAATTTTTTAAGTAAAAGTTTTCCAATACTTTGAATTGCAATTTTTTAAGAGTTTTAAGTTGATGTTTTGGTTATTTGGATAATCTCAAACCATTTTCCAACGCGAAAAAAAAGCTCACTTCTTGTTTCTCTCTCCTCTCTCTCTCTCTCTCTAGATCCCACTGCCAACAAAAGGAGGCTCTCTGCCACGTCGCTTTCCTGCCCATGCCCTCGAATGTATGCGCCATGCGTGACGTGGCAGCCCACCGGGAGTGGGCCCTATCTCAGGACCCACTAGAGTTTATACACGTTTCGACGTTTGCCGCGTCCACGTCACCAGTATGGCCCTCCCACATAGTACTGCCACGTGAGACTGCAGCGCGCGCCTATCATGACGCAAGCGTTCTGTGATGTCCAAGAGCGAATCACATCCGTCCAAATATTTTGATCGAAAGGATGAAACGCAGAATACAGGCGGCCGAAGATTATCAAGTCATGACGTGTAGTGGGCCCGTGGTCCTGGCTTTTACCGCGGTCAAAAAGGTCGACGTCGCTTTCCTCACCGAAAAATCGGGCAAAAGGGATATGAAAATTTATCGGTTATTTTTCTCCAACAAATTACTTGGATATTTGAATTTTGAAAAATATTATATTTTTCAGACAATACTTCGATTTTTGGAAACACAAAAATTAGAAATATTATTTTAATTTTCAAAAAAACAATATTTATTAGGTGCGGTTTGTATAGAGCCTACCTTCAACTAGTGTCGATAAATGTGGTTTCAATATTGAAATTCTTTGTAATAGCTTTAAAATAATTTTCATATTTATTTATAAACTTTAAAGCTTCAAAAATAATGTAGATCAATAGATCTATGAAAATCTTGAAAATTGACAGTCCAAAAATGTGTTACAAAATACATGTAGGCCTGTTGGGGGAAAAAATGGTTAACTATGCAGAGATGATGGCCTCACGTCCCGATTTAAAACTCTTCGTGAAAAGAATGGTGGGTCAATTTTGTGTGGTAGAAGGAGACTCGATGAATGTCATCATTTGGTGCAATAGGATTCAAAATCCACCTTGAAAATTGAGGTCTTCTTTGATGTAAATTTGCGACTTATCCAGGCCTTTTGCTTTTTCCTTTCTGTATGTGTTTTGTGAGGCCAATGTTATGGCCGATTATCATGCTAAAGGTGGTTCCGCCTTGACTGAGACTTTGGTCAAGGATTTTATAATTTCTTTTTAGTCTTTGATTAATAAAGATCTGAATTCTTATAAAAAAAAAAATTACAAAATACACTTTTTCCAAAACTTGAAATCCATTTTTTTTCTCATGTTCATGTATCTTAATGTCGAGATGATTAATTTGAGGAAATTTAGGCATTAAAACAACATCTTCTAGTGAAAGTTTTGAGATAGCGTCGGCTCTATATAAACTTTTCCCATATTTATTTTCACCATGGTGTAGATTATCCACCCCATGTTTGGGAGGGAGGACTTATGTTATATAAACTTTTCCCATATTTATTTTCACCATGGTGTAGATTACCCACCCCATGTTTGGGAGGGAGGACTTATGTGAATAAATGCATCGGTCGACTAATAGAAACCTTGTGATGTCATAATTTAGGGAAAAGTTTAAATAGAGACGAGACTTTTAACAATCAAATTTGAGCCTACCTCAAAAATTTCACTAGAAGAGTTTGTTTTGATGCTCAAATATCCTCATATTGATCATCTCGACATCAAGATGCATGGACATGAGAAAAAAGTGGATTTCTAAGTTTTGAAAATAATTTATTTTATAACGTATTTTTGGACCGTAAATTTTCAAGATTTTAAAGTTTTCATAGATCTATCAATCTACACTATTATAAATAAAGACGAAAATATATTTTAAGGGTATCACAAATATTTTTAGCATTGAAACTATATTTCTCGACACTATTTGAAGGTAGGCTTTGATTTGATTGTTTAGAGCCTAGGCTCTATGTGAACCGCACCCATTAATTTATAAGGGCAAACTTTCAATGTTTCCCTACTATATAAAACTTACATGCCTATTCCTATCCAACCATCCATTCTGAATGGACGCTTGAAAGGCCCCAATCACAATGTTACATCTCTACACTATTTTATTTTTAATTTTTATTTATGAACTATTTGACACCAATTTTTGGGTGTCCACTCCTCTCTTAAAGTCGCACGTATGATCAATATAAAACAAATATTCTTAAAAATATAAAACACCCAAAATACTCCTAAAAGTTT